ATGTTAATACATCTCCCTAAATGCACTCAATAAATATATTATATGACATATATGTATAACAGTTTCATAATAATTTTGTGATCAATTCAGCAATAATCTTCTTTAGAATAAAATACTGAGATAATCTTGCGTTTATAATGTACACTGTTAGAAATGTTCTTAAACTTCATTAACTTTTAAGTTACACAATTTGAACTTAATTCCATGACATTATAAATTTAATGTATTTATAATTAAAAAGTATTTGTGTACATATACATAAAATTTAATGTATTTTTCATAAAAATTTATGAAATATTCATAAAATTTTATTAAAAGTATATTAAATTTCATAAATTTAATGCACACGTTCATTAAATTTAAGTAACTACTGTAATTTAATTTTTAGTTAAATTATTACTTTCAATTTCGTTCATAAACACGAACTTCATTTACATGTAAAAGAAGTTCATGATTACATTTTTAACAGTGTAGTTCCACAACAATCCCCATCTGCAATGAAGTCGAACGATATTGATGTTGTGACAAAGTCGTGCAATAATCTTCTTCCGCGATGAAATTCTGCGATGATTCTCTTTTGCAATAAGATCTTCTACATTAATCTTCTTCCATGATGGAAACCATGAAAGCCTTCTTCTACGACAGAGTTCCGTAATAATTCGATTGGACATGTGGTTCGATTGGACACGAGCTACTCCTAGCTTAAGACTAAAAAGTTCCTGCATCCAGTTTCTATGATTGAGTGTGCAATCGAGACATGATTAAGATCCTTTAGATGATTCTCTTCTATAATAAAATCTTATAATAATTTTTTTCTGCAACGAAGTTTCGCGGTGATCCTCTTTTGCTATAAAATTTCATTAATTTTTTTCTGTGAGAATATCGCGATGATCCTCTTCTACGAAATTTCGCGATAATCATTTTTGTAAAGTTCTGTGATGATTTCTTCTGCAATAGAATTTTATGATGATCTTATGATGAAATCGCGTGATTATCCTCTTCTGCGACAGAATCCCATGACGATTATCTTCTTCTGCAACAAATAGTCCCACGATGATCTTCGGCGATGAAATCCCGCAACGATCTTTTTTGTGATAAAGTTCTGTGATGATCTTTCTCTTGTAATGGAATTCTATGATCTTGTATGAAATTCCGTGATAATCCTCTTTTGCGACAGAATCTCGCGATGATCCTTTTTGTGATAAAGTTCTATGATGATCCTCTTGCGACAGAATCCCATAATGTGATCCTCTTCTGCAAGGTCCCACGATGATCTTTTGTGATGAAATTCCGCGATGATCCTTTTTATGATAAAATTCTGTGATGATTTTTCACGATGGTCTTCTTCTGCAACAGAATCCCATGATGATCTTGTATGACGAAATTCGGTAATAATCTTCTTCTGCGACAAAATCTCATGATGTAATCGTCTTCTGCTTCAAGATCTCATGATAATCTGCGATGAAATCCCGCGATGATCCTTTTTGATAAAGTTCTGTGATGATTTTTCACGATGATTCTTTTCTATAACAGAATTCTATGATGATTTTGTATGACGAAATCCCGTGATAATTTTCTGCGACAGAATTCTGTGATGTGATCCTCTTCTACAAGGCCCTACGATGATCTTATGCGATGAAATCCCGTGATGATCCTTTTTGTGATAAAGGTTTGTGATCTTTTTGTAATGGAATTCTATAATGATCTTATATAAAATACAAAATTCTGTGATAATCCTCTTCTGCGACAAAATCCTATGATGTGATCCTCTTCTGCATCAAGATCCCAGGATGATCTTCTGCAATGAAATCCCGCGATGATTCTTTTTATAATAAAGTTCTGTGATGATCTAGCACGATGGTCCTCTTCTACAATGGAATTCTACGATGATCTTGTATGACGAAGTTCGGTGATAATTCTCTTCTGCAACAAAATTCCATGATGTAATCGTCTTCTGCAACAGAATCCCATGATGTAATCGTCTTCTGCTTCAAGATCCCACGATAATCTGCGATGAAATCCCGCGATGATCTTTTTGTGATAAAGTTCTATGATGACTTTTCACGATGATTCTCTTCTGCAACAGAATTCTATGATGATCTTGTATGACGAAATTTGGTGATAATCCTCTTCTGCGACAAAATCTCATGATGTAATCGTCCTCTGCTTCAAGATCCCATGATAATCTGCGATGAAATCCCGCGATGATCCTTTTTGATAAAATTCTGTGATGATTTTTCACGATGATTCTTTTCTACAACAGAATTCTATGATGATTTTGTATGACGAAATCCCGTGATAATTTTCTGTGACAGAATCCCGTGATGTGATCCTCTTCTGCATCAAAGTCCCACGATGATCTGCGATGAAATCCCGTGATGATCCTTTTTGTGATAAAGGTTTGTGATCTTTTTGTAATGGAATTCTATAATGATCTTATATAACAAAATTCTGTGATAATCCTCTTCTGCATCAAGATCCCATGATGATCTTCTGCGATGAAATCCCGCGATGATTCTTTTTATGATAAAATTCTGTGATGATCTGTCACGATGGTCCTCTTCTACAATGGAATTCTACGATGATCTTGTATGACGAAATTCGGTGATAATCCTCTTCTGTGACAGAATCCCATGATATGATCGTCTTCTGCTTCAAGATCCCACGATAATCTGCGATGAAATCCCGTGATGATCCTTTTTGTGATAAAGGTTTGTGATCTTTTTGTAATGGAATTCTATGATGATCTTATATAACAAAATTCCGTGATGATCTTCTTCTGCGACAAAATCCCATAATGTGATCCTCTTCTGCACAAGGATCCCACGATGATCTTCTGTGATGAAATTCCGCGATGATTCTTTTTATAAAATTTTGTGATGATGAAGTTCTTTCACGATGGTCCTCTTCTGCAATGGAATTTTACGATGATCCTCTTCTACGATAGAATCCCATAATGTGGTCCTCTTCTGCATCAAAGTCTCACGATGATCTTCTGCGATGAAATCCCGTGATGATCCTTTTTGTGATAAGCAAGTCTCGTATGTCTAGAGACGAGTCTTTAAGATTTCGAATGTAGCAACAGCAAGAGAAACTGAGCACCAAATTGATACATTTGCACAGTCGAGCAAATATTTTAAGACCAGCATCGAATTCGAAGGTCGACAGTAAATCATTACATGGTTGAACATTATTGTACCTCTCTAAAACACTTCGTTATTAGGAAAAATTTTAAAGAAACGGATGATTCACGTCCAAAATTCTTTGGTCGATAACATAATAAAATCTCACAAGCAAAAAAGGAAACGAAATCCAACTTTTTCAGGTCAAAAAAAAGTATAAGTTAAAAGTATATTTATGACGACGAGGAACAGAGGATTACTTTATATACAAGCATTACTCTCTTCTAAAATTCTTAAGGCTTTTGAATGATCATTATCATAGATGATTTACTCAGGAGCCGTAAATATATATTTATAAAATATAGAAAAAAAAACATAAATATATTTTATTAAAGATATGTTAAAATAGTCCAGATTTATCAAATGCTAAGTATAACAAACATACTATAGCAAAATAAAAAATTGAAATTGATTTTGATTTATCTAGTTAATGACTTGATTAATTCAATAAATCCAATCTAGAAATGTATATTAGGTGTGGGAAAATGTTCGTGGCATTTTTCTCGTTATATCTAACGGGAAAAACGCCATGAACTTTTTCTTATACCTAATATTAAAAAAATTGATATAAAATTAATTTTCAAATTTTTAATTATCGTAAATGTTAAATCAAGAATATTAGCTAACGCTAAATATTCTTGAAATATTCATAAAAGGTTCCTATCTCAGAAAACATTTCAACAGTATTGCAGAATATTCCGAAATATTTACGGAAAGTAAAAGCAATCTCGACATTTGCACATTCTGTGACAATTCTTTTACTGTTCCGGCATATTCGGCGTATAAAAATACGAATCGAACTTTCTATGACTATTTAGCGTTAGTTGGGGGGGGGGGGGGGAATAATTAAATATCTCACAATGAGATTTAGTAAATTTTTAAGAAAGTGGATTGCTAATCCTTTAACATTCAATAATTAAATAGTTGTTTAGAAAAACCAACGTTAATTTTTCAACGTTCAATAATTAAACAATGAAAAAAAACATGATAACAAGATTTTTTAAATCGTTACCTGGCAAATTTAGCAGTTGCTTCTTACCTCTATCACTGCTTATCTTTCTTAATAAATTAGTATATTTTATCGAGTCATATGCTATTATTATCTTCCTTTTAATTATATCATAATTATTTCATCTTCTTTTCAAATTCCATTAATTCTATTAAAATTCTATTAAAGCTCGAAATTCTTATTTCAGTCTGTAATATTAGACTGAACGAATCCATATAATTTATACCAAACTTCATAATTTTTATCCTCTTTGGGAAAATTGTATTTTTCAATTTTGCTCTTTTTGTTACAAAACCTAAAGCCTTATCTCTTTAAGAGATCAAATCCTTGTTAAAAATACATTTTAGCGACACAACTTGTTAAGAACTTTCCACTAAATTGAACTTTAATTTTTTTGCATCATTTTCTCTCTCTTTCCAAGTAGTATATCAATTTTCATATATTTCCTGTTTCCATAGAAACACGACATATCACATTATATTGTGTCTTAAATGATTGAATCATCCTACTCATTCCATGATTACAATATTTTGTGTATAACAAATGTCGTGATTCAAATGACAGCTTTCTGTGAAAAAATAAAGTAATATTTGATCTTTCCCTCCCTACTATTTGTAATATTTTGTCATCCTTACTATATACTTCCCATAGATGGTCTAACTAAAAGATGAAAAAACCTGTTAGAAATCTATATACTGACAATTGTATGAATTATTACATGTCTTGTAATGAATTATTTGTGTAATATTGTAATGAAATATTATACTTCTCTCTCTATCTCTTTCTCTCTAAAAACTTTTAAAATCAATGTCTTCTAAAAATAATGCGTCTTTTTCTCTTTTCAAGTTAGGAAATGTCAGATTTATTACTATTTAGATGGATTTTTCATAAAGTGTCCCTAGTTTCTTTTGATATAAGGTAGTTCCGTAATAGATAAAGTGTTGCGATTTCTTCTACAAAATAAAAATTTGGAATTTATACGCAAATTGCAATAAAATAATTCCATTATAATTAAATTAATGATGAAGACAAAAGTGATTTGAAAAGTATTATCTAAAACTCTTTGGCTTTTTAGATTTTTAAATATTTATAGATCCTTGAATGATCCGTGTGAGCTTCAAATTCTAAAATTGTTAAATTACTGAAATATTATCTTTAGCCTTTTGTGTTGATAATTAGATATTTAAATTTTGTATTTTTAAACTTATGTCATCCGAGATTTGCAAATTCATACGTATGCTCGGCGCGTCCTTGCAGAAGTCTCGTGCAAGCTTGCTTTGTGCGGATTCAGAAATTACATCTTGCCAAAGTAATCGAAAGACATCAGCAGAATATTATTATATCATATGTGATATCGATTATATATCTGGTAATCTTGAAATATCCTCCAAGTACATTTTTCTTCATTATCATTGTGCAAAACAGCGTCTTCCTGTGACTCATAAAAACATTGTTTTTTTTCCTCCCCCCCCCCTCCCCTCGTCTATATTTGTATACACAAGGCACAAAGTACAAGGATCAAATAATGATCTTCTTTCTTCTCTTGTTACCTTTATCGTTTTCATACAAATCCAGTGGTATCCCCTGATGATCACCAATTGTGGTCGTCGATACGTTGTCGAATTAGAACTGTGCAGATAATGATCGGTCGGGGACGTTTATCTAATCTAAAGATTTAGATCTAGAAAGATTTAGATCTAGTTCTTTCGTTCTGCAGCCTGCTATGTAAAACATAAAAAGAACCGAACAAAGCAAAATGCAATATGTAAATTATATTACAAATATGATATAGGAATTATACGATATAAGGAACGATAACTAGTTACGCTCCAATAGATTTACTCTCATTTTCATTATCTTAAGCCATCCATCAAATCTTCACGATATAGTCACGTTCAATAGATTGCATTTTATATTTTGGTATACCAATCTCACTTAAAGACCACAGATCCTCAGTTCGGTCGAATAGGATGAGAAATCTTCCAAACACACGCAGCTGTCTGTCAATCAAAAAGATTTGTCTCATTTGTACCTCCCCTTCCCTCTCCCTCCCCCCATTTTATATCTCTCTATTTATCTCCACAAAAATTCCAATATAAAATTATCTCTAGCAAAACTACGTCATTTCGTTATCATTTTTGTCGTCAAAATGACAAAATGATATCAGCTTGCTACTAGGGATATTATTGAGAAAAAAGTTCAATACTTTGTTACCATGTAAATATTTAATTATTAAAATGAAAGTACTGAACTAAGATAATTTACTATGTAACACACCTTAAATTATCAGATAAACAATTTGATCAAAAATTCAAATATATAGATATAAATTTTACTTAGCCAGGTTTTACCATAATAGAAAATTCCTTTCAATTGATGTTGATTTATCACTCTTGCTATTTGTGTTGTGTTGTTTGTGCTCTTTTAAATAAAAATATTTTTTCATCTTATTTTATGTATAATTTTTTCTTCGTGTGCAATTCATTGCTGGTACAGATTTAAATCCTTAAACTGGTCGGCTAAGATTGGGATTTCGATGAAGATATCAAGATTCTTTTTCAATTCTCTAAATATCGACTTCGAAAGCTTTGGCTAGTAAAAATTTCCAGACGTATACATGGATTCCTCCTAGTTTCAGGATAGTCAGTTTCCAAGTTCTTAGATCTTCGGATCTTTAGATTTTTTGACATTAATCCGTTTAATTGATATAAATTATGTTTGTAAAAAGATATTAAGATGCAAGATGACTAGAAATGAAATAAAATTTCTACTTCAATTGAAACCAACATTACCAAGTCAAAAAACCTAATCACTTCTTTCCGCCACTTCTTACACATAATATATAATTCTTGCGCATATACTGTTTTTACATAGACAATTTTTCCTTCACTTGCTAAGTCATCGGTATATCCTCCAAACGTTTCTTATACTTTCTGAACATCTAAAACATACATGTTAACGTCCTATCCTGGTCTCGGCATGGCCGAAGATGTGTAGATCTATGAACACATTATTAGGACAACGCAGAACAAGCATAAACATGGAAACTTTACAAACAGGAAAACTTCCGATAACTCTAATAGGTTATTCGCATGCCGAATTACCTTACTTGAAGTACCTGCGACCTTAAGATAACGGTTCTCTTCATCATTAGCCTATGTTATTCAACGAAAATGAATTTATTCTGGATCTAGGGAAACGATCGATCGGGGGAATGGAAGTTGACTGCATGAAACTTCATTTCTCATCGTTGTAGTCATCACGCAGAGAGTTCGGTATCATGACGATTCGTGCAAAAGATAATTTGTGCGCCAAGTCAACCAGCCTCTAGAAACAGATTTTTTCCTTCCCATTCACTTAAGACAGATATACTCTCTTTGGGTTCTTTTTTTCGCTTGCTGCAATCTTATAGGTTTCCTAAGCCAACGATAACGACGACATCATCCATATATTGATAGCTTCATTCGCGTAATAAGGTGAATTTTCTATGATGTCTATGCCAGACTGAAAAGAATTGATGTATTAATAAATTAGTGAATAGAAAAGTTGAAGAAGAATAGTTCTACGTTGTTACTTGCAAAAATGTATTTATTTATCTTACACTCCTTACTTCATCTTCTTATCTAAATTGTATCACAGTTTTACTTACAAATGTATTTCATATAAAATTAAAAGTATCACAATAGTTTACAATAATCGAGATCCTTTGTCTTCGTTTACCTTGATCCTAAACAGTATAAAGTATATTAGAAATATGAGAAAAAATTCATCAATATTGAGCCTTGGTAGGTTACTTGATATATAAAATTTTAGAATTAATTCACAATTTAATAAACATAAAAAATGCGTTATAATTAAAAAAATTTGATTAATCCTTCGATGGTACACTATATTTTTTTACATATATAATACATATATAATACACTAAACATTGTAATAAAAATACTGTATAAAAGTTAAGTTACATTATAGTCAAGTTTTTGCAATCAAAACATCAGCCATTACAAAAAATATGATAATACAAATATAAAAAAATATATAAATATGCAAATATATGTATTTTTCTTAATAAAAAAAATTAGCATTTAAATAAAAGAAAAGTCAAGTATATATGTTATAATATATATGTATAGTATATATGTTATAGTTCTATCAAAGGATTAAATATTTGTTATACTATTCAGGATCAAGAAGAGTTATAAATGCTACACACTAATAGAATTATTATCACAATGAAAGGCAGTCTTATAATATATATATATGAATTTACAAATTTTTTACAAACTTAAAAGTATGTCTAAAATAATGTGAAAATTTTTCTTCTTTTCTGTTTTTTATCAGTATTTTGCTTTAATTATACACATGTTAAATATATTATATTAGCAGACAAACTCTAAATAGTGAAAATACTTTGGTTTCGATACAGTTTACAAACCAAATTGATGACAGGTAGGAAGGCAGATGTGTGTATGCGTACAAAATCCCAAGGTCTGCACCTGTATTACAGCAACTCTCTTATCTCTCTTTTTCCCTATCCTTTTTTTCCACCTGCGTCCGCCATCTCAAACGGTGAGACTGCAAGTAAAAAATATCTAGATATATACTAGTAACAATGAGACTGCAAAAAATTGCCATAATGCTGCAGGATTATTTGGCATCTTCTGGATACATCGAGGTTGCTTGCTGATATTAGAACATAGCTCCATACTAGAATAGATTGGTTCGTAAGTCAAACATTCCTGTACTGCTTCAGTGAGACAGAGAAAAAACAAGCAGAAGATAGACATCCATCCACAGATCGTCATATCAGCATTTGTTGTAGAGTGTTGTAGTTGATTAAATGCATTCTCTTATTAGAAGTTAATGCGGAACATTTGCTGACGTATTTGCTTTCACTCAAATAAGCTACTTGAGTGAACTTGAAAATACAATTGAGAGTTTTTTTGTAGATTTTCATATCTTCAGATATAATGTTTCAATCATTATCTGTGGAAATAAGACCGTGTACTCTCTAGGCCTAGTCACCGCTGTACGGATGATTTGATTGTACTCAGCTGCTGAAGAAAGTCCACTATGCTGCTAAGATCTTCGCACAAGTTATCCCGCCAGAAATTCATGTTCCTCGAGTCAGGATGATGGCCACATCTCTCGAATTCTCGTTCAGTTGTATTATACAGGCCGCAACTGCCATATTCCACGTCCTTGAGGAGATGCTTTCGCAAACGCTGCCAACGAGCTATCCTTGATAACTGCTTAGCCCGCAACTCATACTCCGCCTTGTGTAGCGCGTGAGTCAACACGGCTTCCATATGGAAATCACGTTTGGGGCTCCTATGGCACTTTAACTTCTTCTGACGCACGTTAGTGATCCAGCTAGTCAATTGTTCCGTATGGCTTGGCTTGCCCATCTCAATCTCTCGCGGCCGATCGCGAATGTCTCTCGTGACCGCGGATAATTGCGTCACACTTCCATAAGTAGGAACTATTCTAGTTCGCCCCATCATACAACTAAGTATTGATTTAAGTATCGAATACACCAACCTGTATAACTTGCGCCTAGTCGATCGTTCCAACAATAAAGACGCCTGAGGTTTCTTCTTTTCAATTAAATTAATGGCCTCCTGCCTTCCTGAGAATTCCGGAGACAATAGCCAGCGTTGCCTAAGGCGTATATAAGCGAGATCCGCACCGTTGAGAGAAGACATGCAGAATGGCCGAGCGGTAGTTCTAGTGGGGGCTTTATATATCTAAATGGTTGTCTTTAAGTGTAACCTTACGCGCTGAAGTGCGAAGTAGTTCCGCATTTGTGCCAAAAAATTTATCCGACATCATCGAATTTCTCGTTTATTAGCAATACAATTCATTAATTCGTAATAGAAGATGCTTATGAGAATTAATCGGGCGTGAATTATCGCTTGCAAAGCAAAAATCAATGCATCCCAGAAAACGGATTATGGCGTAGGAATGTGTGCCGTAAGACGGCGTAGGCGACACGGCCCATATAATCGCAGTTGCTCCGTATTCAGTGTAGCAAGTGGGGAATGCGCTTTTTACGCGTGTGTGGCAGATCAATCGTGCACATATATACGAATGATCCTACGCCGTGTTTCAAAATTCACTACCAGCGCTAAAAATCTACAGTTTATATTACGTATACTTTATATTTTCAGCACTGGCAGTAAATTTTGATCATTTAAAAATCATTTTATTCTTGTTGTTTGTTAAATGTGAAAGACAAATGATGCACATGAGTGTTGCCAGTATGAATCAGACCACGGCCTTGAAACGCAGTTTATTTTTTTTTAGTTGGGCAATGTATAGGAGTTGTAACTTGCACAATGTGAGAGAATAGTGACTACAGTACATTTACGGTTATACGGGATTCATTTAGGCCCAGTCTTATGATTCATGGTTAACTTTTCAACCAAGATTAAAATAAGTTAAATCTTGGTTAAAAATTAAAGATGAGTTGTAAAACTAGGCCTTAAATGAGCCTCAGGTAATCATCAGTTAACTTAACCGAGGTTAGTAAAAGAGACCTTTAATAATATCCGTAGTTATGAAACAGGTCAATCAGAGTCGTTCCATTCTTCCGAGGAACAGCTATGATTGGCCAATTTCACTACGGATGTTATTAAACCCGATTAAGCGTGTAACAGAGATCTAGATAACAATAGAAATAACACAGGAATCTATCAGAAACCCTATTCATACATTCTACGGTTTTTGATAGAGATCATTCCTGTCACGCCAAATAATTCTGATATGCACTTTTATTATAGAATATACACGTCACGTGAACTGTAGCCTAAAGTTAGAATAGTCTAGAATATAAACGTAATTCCTGAATATACTGCTGAAAAAAGTCTTGAATTTCTTGTGCAGTTCCTCGTTGGAGAGAAAAAGAAAAAAAATGAATAGTGCAAGAAGTTCAATTGAAAAGAATTAATATAGATTTTTGATATAATGTGACGGTAAGCCTTCATCAATAATCAGGTAGTATTTATAATATAAGTAGTTGATAAAAATATATGATTGAAAATTTAATATCTTTCTCTTTTTTATATTAATTATATTTCTTTTATATTAATTATATTTCTTTTATATTAATTATTATATTACTAGGCCTAATAAATTATTGTGTATTCTTCTATAAGAAATACAACCTTGATGTGAGAAAACTCAATGATACCTATATACCAATAATTATGTGTACCATTACAGATGATCTTTGACATTGCCATGTCTTTAGAGACAGCCATAAAACACAATAATTTACATCGATTTAAAAACCCCGACAAAAAGAAAAATTGGAGCATATGTCGAATAGGAGAGAGACAAAACCATAAAAGAAGCAAAAATTAAGACAATGAAACATAAAAAAATGTAAATATTTAACTCTTTTACGTTTTATTTCAATTTTTTTCTTTCTAGAAGTTTATTAATTTACATTTCTGTTACTCTCCTCTTACATTCAACTTACATTCCAGTTTTTATTTTCACTAAAGGATGATATACAATAAAAAAAGAAAAAAGAAAACAGGAACGCATGATTTATTGTTGCATTGTTTATATATATATATATATATATATACACATACATTATTATACATGTATAAAGATCAATATAAATATTAATATATAAAACATTTATAGAGATTTATAGACATTTATAGACATTTCTATAGTATTTCAAAAAAGACATTTAAATATGTATTTAATTAATATTTAAATAATATATTTAAATTTATTATGTCGACATAATGAATTTAAGTATTGTTTAAGTATTAAACATATATTTAAATATTTCTGAAGTACTTAAAATTTATTAAATGTTTTATGGTCTGTTTAGAGATTACAAAGGTTATTGAAATAAATTTAAAATATTTCTTAAAAATGTAATTATATCGCCACTGTTTTGATTGATTGATCACATTATATATATAAATGTATACATATAATAATCACTATTAAAATATCATTATCTGCAATTTCTACACAATATCATTATTCATACAAAAATTGTTTGCAATTAAAGCAAAATAAGTCATTCATATAAAAAAATTTATTGCAATTAAAGTAGAACAAATCACGATAACATAAAAATGATGTTGAATCATAATTGATCAAAAAGTGATTTTTAATTAGTAAACATTTGGCAGCCATTTTAATGTCAGTTTAATATTATAATGATTTTTTATTCTGTTTGAATGTTTTTCAATTTATTGCATAGGATAGATTTTAAAAATATTTCTACTGAAATATATTTCATGTAATATTTTGCAAGCTCTTTTATGTAATATTCATATGACACATTACAGAATTCTTTATGTTGTAACATTTTACAGAATCCTTTTAAAATTGTTGCAGATGAAATGTGAAACATTTCTGAAAACTTTTCGCAATAATTTGTGCTGTATATTTATAAAACGAAAATTAATATTTATATCCAATATATAGAAAAAATTTATTTTTTACAATCAGATAATGAGTATACTACATGTTTTGCAAATAAAAATTATATTACGCAAATAAAATATTATTATCTTATCTATATTATATTATACATTATTTTTATTAAATATATTTCAG